GAGAATCAGATTACAATATTAAATATATTATATATTAACAAAATTAATAGCTTTTAAGTAGTTTAACATATTTTGAATGAACAATTTGCACCAAGTGCTTTCTCTAAGTTTATTGAGATACCATAAGTAATTCTTGCTGTGGAGAAAACTGGACAGTCTACAACAACATGTTTCACCGAGAGTTTAACGTTACACTGCTCACATTTTGGTTCGGATTCTTTAGTAATTAAGAACTTGTGCGTGGCACTGGTATGACCTAATCTAAGACGAGTTATTGTCACTTGATCGCTTCTTTTAGTGGGGAAATATCTCCATGGTTTAATGTTCGGTTTAATATTCCGAAGATTGGACACTGAAAATTCCCACCGGTTTTGCCACTCACTTAGGATCCGCGATTTGATAACACTTGAAACATCACTAGCTATCACGTATTTCACAATAATAGAGTCAGCTGAGTTGACGGCTTCACGCGCACACTTATCTGCTTCTTCATTGCCTCTAATACCAATATATGATGGGATCCAAATAAAGATTACCTCCTTATTACAATTTTCTATCTCTATCAGATTTTGTTTTATTTTTGTAAGAATATGGTTCTCTGGGTATATTCTTCCTATAGATTGTAGTGAGTTTAGTGAATCAGTCAAAATTATATATTTCTGATTTGGTGAGGATATAATATATGTGAGTGCCTCTTATATGGCGTATAATTCTTCATTAAAAGTACTATAGTGTATTGGCAACTTATATTTTTGACACGTATTAGAGGATATAACTGCTGCTCCCACGTCATCTGTTGATTTTGAAGCATCTGTATAAATTTGAGAGAAATTTGTATTTGATAATGTTTTGCAGATTTTGATGTATTATACTATGGCTAGTAGTGTGTTTGTCCAATGATGTTAGGGTAGTTATTATTTTAGGTACTCCCAAAGTCCATGGTGCAGCAGGTTCAAAACTAACGGGAAAGCAAGGAGGTAAGGTGGTGTTCAGAGATGAGAGATCCATTTTGATTCGGTGGTAAAAAGGTTTATGTAGACGTGGTTTATTGGAGAAAAATGTTGATAATCGGTTAAGGTGATCATATTTGAAGGTGTGGTTGTTAGGATTTGCATTTGATTTAATTGCATAGGTTAGCTTTAAGTACATTCTTCTGTGATATAGTGATGGTTCAGCTGCTTCACAATACAGGCTTTCTATTGGTGTGATTCTGTAAGCTCCCAACACAATGCGAAGTGAAGTTTTGTGTATTGAATCTAAAATTTTAAGGGAAGACTCAGTAGCCGATGACTATGCTATCGCGCCATAGTCTAATTTAGATCTGATTAGAGTTCTGTAGAGAGAGAGCATAGTTTGTCTATCTGCCCCCCAGTCTTTTTTAGATAGTGATTTAAGGATATTAAGTCTTGCTTGGCATTCGATTGCCAATTTTTTAATATGTTCTTTCCAATTTAGATGTTGGTCGAATGTCATTCCTAAAAATTTTACATTATTTTTTCGAACTAGAAGTTTGTTATATAGTGAAAGTGGAGAGTGATTAGGGTAGCTTTTCTTTGTGAATAATATAAATTGTGTTTTTTCTATAGAAAATTGAAATCCACAATTTTGCGACCATTCCTCTAGTTGATGTAAAAACGTTTGTAGCATACTCTTGATGTTTTCCAAATTTTGGCTTCTCGCATAGATAACAAGGTCGTCTGCGTATAAGAGACCTTTCAGTGGTGAGTTCATATTGGCTAGGACATTATTTAATGCTACCAAAAAAAATGTAGGGCTTAAAACTGATCCTTGAGGAATACCATTCTTTAGTTTTGTTTTTAGTGATAGCATACCATTAGTTTTAAGGTGGAATGATCGATTGGTTAAGAAATTATTAATGAAAGCTAGGCAGTGTCTTTTGATATTTAAATTATGTAGTTTTTTAACTGTTAGGTGTTTTCAAGTGGTATCATATGCTCCCTTGATGTCAAAAAATATTGCGACGCATTTTTGATTGGCAGCAAAAGCTTCAAGTACGTCATTTTCTAATGCTAAAATATTGTCCATTGTTGATCGATTTCTACGAAAACCACTTTGATTTGGAATTATTAGGTTTCGATTCTCAAGAGTCCATAAAAGCCTTTTATTTACAATTTTTTCCATTAATTTACTCATAGCACATGTCAAAGATATTGGTCTATATGAATTTGGATTACTTTTTGGATTGTTTGGTTTTAAAATTGGTATAATAATAGATTCTGACCATTTTGATGGAAATTTATGTTGCATCCATATTAAATTAAATAACTTTAGTAGGTAGGTACATCTGACAATACGCTTTTAGACCTTGAAAACGTCCTTTATACTAGGAGATCCACCCCAGTTATACCGAAACTCATTATCGATTGTACTTCAGTAAAATAAAAAAGACAAAGGTGTTGCAGACTAAATATTCTATTCAAATTTCTCAATTAATAACATTTAGAAATGAGTCAATATGGAGCCCTTTGGTACTCCATTCTTATTAACAACCGGACCAGACATTGAAATCTTGAACTTATTTTTTATTCTAACTATTTGGTGTCGGTCTTTCAGATAGGAACCAAATCAACTGTGGGCAACACCCCTAACACCACATCTGTACAATCTATCGAGGAGTAAATCGTGTTGCACACAATCAAAAGCACGACTGAGGTCACAAAAAATGGCAGTTGGATTTTTACCGTTTTCAATTGAGATTAAAACTTCCTCATAGAACCTGTTAATGGCTGTGGAAGTAGAAAATTTATTTCGAAATCCATGTTGATGCTTTGTGATAATTTGGTTGATATCTAAAAATAATAAAAGTTGTTTCAGAATTGCATATTCAATAATACTAAATACCACAGATGGAAGCATTTATAATGTGAGCCAGTAGTGTCAAAATCTGAGACGCAATTTTCTTAATTACTATTAAATAAGAAGGAAGAGAATACTCTGCAAAGATACGAAATAAAACTATTGGATATGTTTTCAGAGGAAGGAAGACAGATAGAAGACGGGTGGGAGAGACGAAACAACAACGAATTAATGGCTTTGTACAAATATCCTACCATCACCAGGTTTGTCAAGTCGCAAGGCGGCTAGCAAAACACAACTGTAATGACTGCATCCGAAGAAGAAATGTCAAGCCTGCTACAGCTGGTGGAAACCGAAAGCAATAGATGTAATCTTAAGATCAATTAACAAAACACAAAAACTGTAACAATCGATTATTCAAAATCACTGCAAAAAACAACTGGAGCCTAGGACCAGTTTGAAATGGTTAATGAAGTTCAATTATCTAGAAGCCTACCTTAGTAATAAGAGATAGTAATAAGATAGTAATAATAAGAGAGATACTAAGTATGAAAATACTTATAGAACAAGCAAATGAATGCCACATTCCTCTATATATGGCGTTCATAAATTTCGAAAAGGCTTTCGACAGAGTCGAACATTGGGCAGTGAAAAGTTCTTTGATTAACAGCAGAATTGACGAAGAATAGGAAAAGACCCAGAGATTTTGTTAACGCTAAAGCGAAGAAAACTCGAATATTTTGGTCACCTGATGAGAGGACATAAATACGCATTACTTCAAAATATAATGCAGGGAAAAATAGAAGGAAAACGGAATCCAGGCCGTAGAAGAATGTCATGGTTGCGGAATTTGAGAGAGTGGTTTGGCTGCACCACTAATGAACTCTTTAGGTCAGCCGTAAACAAGGTCAGAATAGCCTTGATGATTTCCAATCTCCGATAGGAGTAGCACAAAAAGAAGAAGAAGAATTGACTACAGATATACGGAACTAATAGCCAATATATATAAGGAAGCCAAAACAACAATTAAAGTATATGAAGAAACAAAATCAATGCAAATAAATAGAGGCGTGAGACAGGGTGATACAATATCACCGAAACTTTTCAATCAGGCTCTTGAAGATACTTTTAAAAGATTAGAATGGGAAGAAAAAAGTATAAAAATTTGTGGACAACGCTTGTGCCATTTAAGGTACGCTGATGATATCGTATTGATAACTGATACAAAAGAAGATTTATTTGAAATGATGAAAGAACTGGACGTATGTTATGAAAACCATAACAAATACAGATGAAGACATCACAATGAGAATCGGACAAGATGAAATAGAACAAGTTCAGGATTATATATATATATATAATATATATATATATATATATATATTATATTATATATATATATATCTTGGTCAAACTATAAAACTTAACAAAGAGAACCAAACAGCAGAGATAAAGAGACGAGTTAGACTGGCATGGGCGGCATTTGGCAAACTAAGCTACATTCTTAAAAACAAAAAATCCACAGCATCTTAAGACCATAGTATACAATTAATGCGTACTCTCTGTTCTTACTTATGGTTCCCAAACATGGACATTTACAAAAGCAAACATGAACAAAATCATAAAAACCCAGAGAGCAATGGAAAGACAAATGTTGCACATAAGACTAATGGAAAAAAGAGAAAAGAGTGGATAAGAGAGAAAACAAAAGTGAGGGATGTTAGACAAGAAGTTGCAAAATTGAAATGGAGATTTGCCGGACACAATATAAGACAAAAAGAAGACTGATGGAACAAAATTCTTATAAGTTGGAGACCGTGGGAATATAAACGAAGCAGAGGAAGGCCCCAAATGAGATGGGCAGATGATATCAAGAAGCACGTGGGTTCTAGGTGGATGACTGTAGCGACAGACAGAGAAAAATGAAAAAGGATTGGGGAGGCCTATGTCCAAAGATGGACCGAAGAAGGCTAATTAGATAGATAGATAGAAGAGAGATACACAAATGAACTAAATTGGATGAATTGGATTTTATTAAAACAATTTTTTGTAGAATTAGGAAACAAATTTTCAAAGTTTTGGTATGAAACTTGACTCAAATATAAACATTTTATTTAACACGTTTTTGTATAGTTTTGCAGCTGCGATATTGACAAAATACCTAAATACTTATTTTTTCTTTCAGGGGCATTCCTGGTTCCTTACTGTATTATGTTGGTGATTGGAGGAATACCGTTGTTTTATATGGAATTAGCTTTAGGACAATTTAATCGAAAAGGAGCTATTACTTGTTGGGGAAGGTTATGTCCGTTGTTTAAAGGTAAGAGAGAAGTTATTTTTTAACATTAAACCAATTAAATTTTAGCAGATTCATTCGATTTTCCTAGTTACTAGATAAGTTCTATAAATAAGTTATATCATGGTTTTCCCCAAATTATGTTTTTCTTTTCGACAGTCAAAAGTTCAGTTTTGAATGTAAAAAAAAGTCAGTCGACGTGGATCCAATGAGTAAAAACAACGATAGAAGACGTGTTTTCTATCGTTGTTTTTAAGGATATTAAAGTAAAATCTCATGACAACAATAAATAAATCTTTTATTGATTCAACTATAATGTTGAGGATTTAATAATATACTTTCCTTTAACTTTTATACATTAACAGAGCTTAATATCATTAAATTCGGATACATTTTAAGAAGCTTCAGTCTTTAGAGAGAAACACTTTTCGGCTCAGCGTCAAAAATCTATGAATTACGGCTAAATAAAGTGGTCGTATTTGCAAATTTCATGGGGAGAAAATGAGAAAAGTGCGGAAAGCAATTCAAGAACTCTTAAACTTTTGTCGACCGGCGAGGCTCGAGAATTATTATAAAAATGGAAGTCATATAATCTGACACACTCGAATGACCATTCCGTGGAGCACTTAGCATCGGCGCACGATGCTGTAAAAATGTTTTTGAATACTTTACGATGGAAGGTGATGTTATATATGGGTATTGAACTGGTAATAAATAATACTGTTCTAAAAGCTAGCAAGTGTATTTCTTGGACAAAATTATACAGAGTGATAAAAATTTGCAGTTCCGTCTGTAATATCAGAGCATGCCAGATATACAAGAATAGCAGGCAGATTTTCCAACGGTATAAGTACATGAGAACATCTTTTAAATATGGAACAAATTATCGAGATTAATTTCTATTTAATTTAATATTCCGTTGTACATATACTTTATAGATTATCGCAAGACGTTTAACAAAGTCAAATGGCGTGTGGCGGGTAGCTCTTTTAGACAGCAGACACTGATTAAGATTAAATAAAAATATATCAGAAATTATTAAATAACAAAATAGCATTAGATCCTAGGTAATATATACAATAAAAATTAAAACGTCAATCCTGTCGAAGACGGCATCGATGTCATAAAAAAATAGAGATGGAACGGGCCAATCAACACTCGACCTGGTGTGGAACGGACGGGGTCCAATCAGTACTTGCACATAGGATAGGATAGGTATGTCTCAGATCAATACTCCAAGACCGGGTACGGAACTGCCACTAGATCAATACTCTAGCAGAAGCAATTGGCCTTCAGTCAATACCCTATGGCCAGTGGAGTTGTTGTCAGATCAATACTCCGACATAACTCTGCTTTCTCTATAATTCATTGTCAGTTGCTTCTCTCTGTGGGTGTTTTCTTTGAATCTGGTGTTTTGTTGTCCTGTTTTAGGTTTTCCACCTCTTCAGGACATGGTTTGTTTTTAGTGTTGGCTGTTTTCTTTCTGGCTTCATAGTTCCATCGTTGGTTTGTTTTTGGACTTATCGTCGCCAATCAAAGGCAAAAGGGGCATTGGTTTAACGGTCCTGTTCAGAATTTATTGTTCTAAAAAATAAATTAATGTGTATGTGAATATATATGTTTACAAATTGATAAATTAATAAAGGTGTTCAAACGTGATCGTCTTGAGGGTAGCTGTGGTTATATCCTCAGCAATACACAGGTATCATTGTGCAATGGGATCGGAAAACCACAGAAAACCAAACCGCTCCTGTCTAGGCAAGCTCGAAGTAAGCATTTAAAAGTTAATGCGACGACGATAATAGAGGGGAGTTGCATCCTGTATGTCAATGTATTCACAAGGAAGTTCGTTGCTGGCAAGAGTCAGTAGAATTGCAGAAAGGAAAGGGATTTTAGATTTAGGTTTTTTTCTGAATACATTGCCGATGGATGAGCAGGTCGTTTTTAAAATATTTTGGGCTCTGAAGTTTTGGCCATGGATGGTGCTGATTGTGTAACTCCTGCTCAGAGAGGAAAGTCTCTCATCGATGGGTTGGATATTCGACAGGTGATGTATCAGAGCGGAGGGGTAATCGTGTCGCTTGTTATTAACTCTACGCAGGGTTCTCCTCTCCAATGCCAGCATTTTTTTGTGTGCGCACCGTAATATAGATATTGGATCTATACTCGAAGCCTGGCCTAATAAATGTTTTATGTGTATGAGTGATCGTGGGTGTGTCTTCCAAATTTACCACAAACAACATTGAGTAGTTCGAGTCTACTCGTAGCCTTCTTACAGGCTATGTCCACATCGGTCTTCCAGTTCAGTGTTTGTGCAAACACTACATCGAGGTATTCGATCTGGTCACGGGGCTGTAGTCGGTCTCTCCAGAGTCTAAGGTTGTGTCTTTCAGATATTATGGATGTAATGAATCTGCTGCGATATGGATGTCTGAAGAGAATCATTTGAGTTTTATTTGGGTTGGGTGTGACTCTCCATCTCCGACATCACCTGTCTACCAGATTAAACAGATTTTAAGCAAACCCAAGTACAGAGTCTACGTCTCGTGATGTTGTTACGAGAGCTGTATCATCTGCGTAAAGCAAAGTAGTTATGTTAGTGTATTGTTGGTTGGGAAAGTCACTATTTTAGATTATGTATAACATGGGAGCCAACACTAAACCTTGTGGTACTCCTGCTGTAGGTGTAAAATATTCGCAGAAGTCACCCCGTTCCTTTACCGTGATTAGACGATCAGAGACATATTAATGGATAAGTCTAACGAATGAAAGGAGCAGGCCGATGTTCAACAGTTTCTTGGCCAGTCCAGCATGCCACACTTGGTCAAAGACTTTTGAACATCGAAAAAGATGCTTAAAGATACTTTTCCGTCATTTAGATTTTGTGTGAGGTGTGTGACGATTTGGTGGTAGATGTCAATGCCGTTTTGGTGGAGTACCCTTCTCTAAAGCCGAGTTGAAACGATGGAGTGATGTTGTTTGCGGTGGTCAACGAGTCTCCTTGAGGATCCTTTCGAAGACCTTAGCTAGAACGTTTAGGAGTGATATCGACCTATAAGAGTTTAGATCGGTACTTGTTTTACCAATTTTTAAGAGCATAATTGTATTGGCGACTTTTCACGGAGATGGAAAGTAGCAGAGTTTGAGCATGGTATTGTGTTGTTTCACGCAGTTTCTGGCAATATTGTCAGGTCCTGGTGAGTTAGATTTGCCGATTTGGCAAAAATTTTTAGGATGATCATGTGGTGTCTGTGGGTCGAAGGGGGTGGCGAGCTGTCGTGTTATGTCTACCTCGATCCTTGCACGGAAGGCAAGGTCAAATCTAGGATAATTGGGAGTGATTAGGGTACTTTGTAGATGGGTTTTGAAGGCCTCGGCCTTCTGTTGATTTTAATTTATAATTTGGTTGTTCATCACAAGATGAGAAGGGTTATTGATTATATGTTTCGTTAGACATTTGAGTTTATGCCAGAATGCGCAACCGTCGCGATAATTAAGACTAGAGGTAGCTGCAATCCACTGTCTGGCTTGCAGATTATTAACCTGTACTTTGATTACCGCAGACAGGCGGTTGTATTCTGTTTTGACTAGTGGGTTGCGGGTGCGTTGAAACTGATGGAGGAGTCATCTCTTTTGTTTAATTTTGTCGACAATATATTGTGGTAGAAATGTTTTACTGGATATCTCAATTGCTTGATTCATCACTTTGGTAATAACCGTGATACCTTAATCGATATCATCAGGCTATGTTAAGTTGCCTAACTGAGGAGTGCTGACTTATAAGAAGGTTCTGAAAAGGTCCCAGTTGGCGTGTTTGTACTCTCTTATTCTTTTGGGAGGTTTGGGAGTTAAGGAATTAACTATCTGTTCTGTAACCAGCAGGGATAGATGATTCGACGTGATCGAGCCACCTAAAAAGCATTCGTCATCCAATAAGTCGATCACATCGTAAGTAAACACGATGTGGTCGACGGATGACATCCCCATGGGATCCATAAAAGTCGGTTTAAGGTTACGTATACGGTGTAAGGCAAGATTAAGGAGCAGATCCGAAAGGTCAATGCCTGCACGGTTGGTTGCCGTGTCGCCAAATTGCGTGTTCTTGGCGTTAAAGTCTCCAAATATGATTGCCTTATTTATGCTGGAGACATATCTAAGCAATGCTTCGGATAGGTGTTGAGCAGGATGTATATAATAAGAGACTAGTGTAAGTGTGGTATTATTATCGAAGTGAATGTCTCTTGACAAAGAAAGGGAAATATATTATTTTGAAAATTACAGGGTTATAAACAAAATCAGTTTACAACCAATAAGATTCAGTAGATTTGTTTTCCAAAAGTTTATTTAAGGAATTTTTTGAGTGTGGTGTTCAGAACTCATTATCACTTTTATCATGCGGGGATAACGTTCATTTTGATTTGGTTTACCGACTCTAGAAAATGCATAAGGGCTAATTAAAACATTTTATTCTTATCATAATCTTTCTTATTTTATGCATCTCCTGTAGGTTCAGAGATGCCTCTAACCAAAAAAAATGGGACGAGATATGCGATCAGCGGCTTCATTGATAATGCTGTCATATTTATTGCTGAGTTCAAAAAGTTTATTATCTAAAATGTCCGCTTTAAACTCCACTCGTAGATTCTTGATTTCAGTAATTTCCAATGTTTGAACTACTTGCATTGGAAAGTATACATAGCCCCCGTACTTTTTGCCTCGTAACTCGATCCTCGACCGACATATCCGTATAAGCGATGTATGTTGATTTCTACCCACCATTGCTTCGTATAGCCACTTACAATATAAGAACTATGAGGACCCAAGAACACCTTGACGAACTAGAACAAGAGCTCTCAAATATCAAATGGGATATAATTGCACTGTGCGAAACTCGCTTACCAGGAGAAGCATGTACCATCTTAAAATCTGGTCACCAACTATACCAGAAAAACTCCGTAGAAAATCATCACATAGGCGGTGTAGCGTTCCTAGTAAACAAACGAACTCCCTATAAAATAACGAAG